CAAAATCTGACTTTAGAATGGGGAACAGATTCTTGCTTACAAGTGGTTAATGGATTGTGCTCTATTAAAATGTGGAGTTTGGTGTTTATGTACATAACACCACAACAAAATATTTTTGGTTATTAATGCAGAATAATTATTCCCCTTGAATTACTTCTTTAAAAGCCACAGATTGATTTGATCTAATTAGTATGAGCGTTAATCAGCAACAAACCATTTACTTTTAGTTAACAAACCATTATGAATGGCTTATTATAGTAAAACTCTTAATTTATGGCCTGTTAATGTTAGAATTACAGCATTGGTAATTGCACCTAATAATAGTGTAGCGGAATATAGTTGGTATATTCTTACACTTTTATTAAGGTCCAGAGATATCACTGATCTAAACCTGAGCTGGATCATTAATCTTTGGACCGGGCACTTAGAATCAGAAGAGGTTATTTTTACCACAGGGAATTTTATTCAAACACTTTGTATTGACTTAGAGACAAGAAAAGAGAGAGAGAGAGAGATGGGACGTTTAAGAATATTTATTTTATAATAATTCGAAACAATCTCCAGGACTAACTCTCTAATGATGGATGCAGATGAATGTAATGCTGAAGTGTCGGTGTGTGTTTGTCAGTTCAGAATTTCCATCTGGTGGAGGCGAGTCTGAGTGCGAGGTGTTGTTGCCCTAACTGACCAACGATGGATTTCAGGAGGAAGACATGAGACGCAATCTATGCTGATCTACGTACCGAACGCGGAGACCTCCGTGTTAGATCCGGATGCCAGGTCCTCGACCCTCCTTGGTGCTGGAACTGGTGAAACAGCGTCGGCAGCACAACAAACCAGTCTATGGATAGTCTCCCGGTACAACGGCAGATTTCAGCATCACGTAGAGACCCCCCTTTATTGGGTCATAGAGTTCAGCTTTTATTCTGAAGGAACCGTCGTCTTGTTGATAAAACGACAGAGTTTTCCAGCTTGACAGTTCTCAGCTTAAAAGTAGAAAATACAGCTGGCCAGCCTGTACTTCACTTAGCGATGATGGACATCAGATGGATTTGAGAGCTGGTTGAACTCGCGTTGGAACTACGTTGAAACTGGCGGTGGAACTGAACTAAAATGGCGTTGTTCTGTTTCATTAAGCTTAGTTGTTTTTGAATCTTAGCCAATCGGAGTGAACAGATTAACTAAACACCACAGAGCTCTGCCACGCATCAGAAAGGAAGTTCTGATTGGATGAGTGAACAATGTGTCATGTGTTTACCTTATGTGGATCAGAATGTCTAGCTCAGTTAGTCCAATGTCCTGTTATTCATTAAACACATAAATCATAACATTGTGATTTCACAGATCAGTCACCTGATTATTATTGACCAACAGTTGTTTTGATTAGCTTTATTAGAAATAAAGTTCTTTGATTAACTAATGAAAAGCGTTCTTCGTCCTTCTTCTGTCTTCTTTGCTAGAATGTTAACACCCGAAGCAGGTGCACGACCTTGGCAACTTATGCACACTGTCACTGTGTCAAAGGGCAGCTGTTAATGGCAGAAATGGCATATTCATAACACTGCAATAGCTTAATAATGACTAATTCTGACTTAGTAGTCCATTGATATGCATATTAATTGGCAGCTAATTAATGCTTAATTTGTGTTCCTAAACTAAGGTGTTACCAAATTTTCTTGTGTTCTGTTGAAATTAGTAACACATTACTTAAAAAGCACTATTCTTCTGTGTGAAAGGGTCAGCTGGCCTTTCAGTCCCATTTCTCTGCTGTACCGGCAGCACCCATTAACGGGATACTTTGGCTTCACTGTTGAACAATGGAAGAAGATGGAGAAACTTTGTTATGAAGTCCCTCTTTGGAGCCCGAAGTGCAGAAACTTTGACGAAAATCAGAAGCTCTGAAATAACAGGTAAAGGTGAAGCTTAAAAATGGACAATTCAGAAGAGTAATACTCGTGACCCCTGCTGCCTGGTTAAAAAACGCCTTTGCAGGTCATTATAGAGACTGATGTTTTCATCCTAGAAGTGCATACAGAATAAAAGTTCTTCTATAAAAATGGATATAACTTTGCTGGCTTATTAGTCTAATTAATGACAGTACAAACAACAGTTTTGATGACAATTAAACAGATGAGAAAACACAACAAAGCCAATGGTGTTTCTGTCTGTCAGAGTTGTATTGCCTATTTCACCAACAGATGGCAACAAGATAAAAGCCAAAAGCCAAAACAATTTACATTCGACTCAAGTTCACAGGTGTTGTTTCCCCAGTGACTCATCACCAGTCTCTGAATTATATACTCACAGGCATGTCAATCAAGCCAGCTATGCTCCCAAACATTGCAGTCTTTCCCCGCTAGCACACTGATCAGAAGGAAATTGCCTCTCAATAAATATGAACAATGTATTGAAGTTTATTGAAGCCACAGATTCACGTTTTCGTTCGTATTACACTTAAAAAGAACTCACAACTGATTTATCTACGATAAAATGTGGATGGGAACGTCTTTTATAAAGTCAGTCAAATAAAGCATCAGTCTTACATTAAAAAGGTATACTACATTATCTGCTGAGGTCTTTGTTGTGGCTTTGCAGTGAAAGTGTGTAGAGAGTTCTTATTTACATCACATATTTGCCTCATTAAGAATCCAGTTTGTTTAAATAAGGGCTGTAGAAATGTACCAATACAGAGCAAGAGCTCTGTACCAGTCTCAAGTAGTTTAAAATAGATGCATAAAAGTGGCTAGATGATCTGGCTGGTTAGATTGGACAGATGGAATTTATTTTGCAGCAATGGTAGGGCAGGTTATTGTGGTGCACCTGTGTGGAACACTGAAAAAAAAAAGTTTGTAAAATCACATTTCTGTTTACAACCAGTCACTCAGAGTTGTTCTTGCAGGCTGAACATGAGAATAGTCTCCTACACCCATCTCCTAAATTCGCTTCTGTTAGAAAATAGACGGTGAAAATCTAAAAAGTCTGACAGATCTTCTCTCACTCAACATTCATGGACTCACCCATCTTGACTGGCAATGGGAAAGACTGTTGTTGGTTTGGCATAAAGTAGCGATGCACCGATACTAGTATTGGTAAAAGTTCACTGATACCAGGAACCGATACAAATGCAGTTGCCTGAAAGCGGCTTCCTGGTACCTTGTCTTTTCTGTTCACCGTATATTTTAGTTTTGTGATCATTTCTGTTTATACACTTTATTTTTTTATCTACCCCACAGTCTTTTCCTGTTCAAAGCAGAGAAGAAAATTAAACCTGCATTCCAATTCATTGGATTTTTTGGTGTGGTAGAAGTATCAGTATCGTCAAGTACTCAGATCCAAGTATTGGTATTGTGAAAAAAGTGGTATTGGTGCATCCCTAGCATAAAGGAAACAACAGAGAATGTCTCGACTTTTAGAAGCTAACCGTTAGCATTAGCTGTTATCCAATCTGGGGCAAGATGTCCAAATATCAGGAAATAAGATTCCTGCTGATTGAAGCTCAGCTTTGATGTGGCTCACTTCTGATTCCTGGAGATGGTGCATCGGTATGCAGTATCTCATGTTTCCTGAACCACTCTTTCAAAATTTGAGCTCCGTGAATCCTGGCATTGTCATCTTGGAATATGTCTGTACTATCAGGGAAGAAAACATCTATTGATGGAATAACATGGTCATTCAGTGTATTCAAGTAGTCAGCTGACCTTGTTCTTGGAGCACATCTTGTTGCTGAACCTAGACCTGACCAACTGCAGCAACCCTAGATCATAACACTGCCCCCACAGGCTTGTACAGTAGGCACTAGACATGATGGGTGCATCACTTCCTCTGCCTCTCTTCTTACCCTGATGCACCATCATTCTGGAATAGGGTCCATCTGGACTCATCAGATCAGTTTTTAATAATGCATTAAACAGTTCTTAACCCAGGTTTAGTTGTTTTTGCAATCTCCTGGTGTCCTGCTGAGCTGAGGTGGCCTCATGGAGGGGGCCATCGGCTCAAACACTGCTGCTAACCACTTAAACATTCTCCCTCTCCTGATAATAACATTTTACTTTCTTTGACATGAAATGTGCTACCACTAGTTTACCCGTTTAATTATAGATTCACTAGGATAAAGACAATAAAGTTTATTTCTTACTAAATGTGCGTGTGTGTGTGTGTGTGTGTGTGTGTGTGTGTGTGCGTGTGTGTGTGTGTGTGTGTGTGTGTGTGTGTGTGTGTGTGTGTGTGTGTGTGTGTGTGTGTGTGTGTGTGTGTGCATGCGTGCATGTATGTGTGTGTGTGCTCTGTCTTCTCGATCCCCAGTGAGTCGTGGAGGATGACTGCTTATACTGAGCCAGGATCCTCTGGAGGTTTCTTCCTGTTAAAAGGGAGTTTTCCTCTCCACTGTCACTAAATGCTTGCTTAGTATGAGGATTACTGTAAAGACACTGACACCAGTGAGTGACTCGATGCAATCTGCTGGGGTCCTTATATATAAAAAATTTTACTGATTGGCCTAATGAACTGACCTATTTTGGAATGTTTGTGGAGTGCCTTGAGATGACTCTTGTTGTGATTTGGCGCTATATAAATAAACTTGAATTGAATTGAATTGAATCCTTAGATGTTTTCTCTGCTTGATGCACGCCAATGATCTGACCCTTCTCAAACAGATTAACATCTTTTCCACGACCACCAGATGTGTCTTTCCACATGGTTGTTTAAGCAACTCATTGCATCAGTTGGGGTTAAATAACTAGTTAGCCATGCAGTAATGATCCAATTGGAGGCCTGTACCTATTTATTTAGTTAAGGCTGGGCAGTGTATGTTCTGTAATTTTTATACATTACAAAAATAGCAATATAATTGTGTTTAAACAAAAGGTAAATAGACAGAAATATTCCCACCTTCAACATCACATATTTCACATCTATCCATATTTGGCTCACATCCATTCCAGGTTCTGGATGGTTACAAACTGAATTAATGAGGAAGAAATCTACTGTGTTGTTGCTCACAGGGAATTTTAGGCTCAGGCTTTGCCCTAAAGGTGCAGCAGAAGCAAAGGCAGAAACACTTCAACAGACAGATCCCTGCAGCTGCCTGCCTCATACAGGTATTTGAAAAATGCTCAAACAGAACCTAAAAAAGTAGCAGGGCTGAATGGTCTCAAAGACTAACTTTCATTATTGAGACTATCCTTTCATGTACTTCTTCCTGTTCTTTTTTCTTTTAATGTGTTTCAGAACAAAGAATGTCCAGTCCAACTTAAATATTTTTATTTTCATATCCCAACAGGCATCATGGAGATGTTTTGCAGTGGAGAACTTTGATTCGACCACATTCAAGCTCTTTTTGAGAAAGAAATCCCACATTCCTGCTGCCTCTCTGTCCAGCCCCAAGCCCAAAAAATCGGTTAGTAATCATTTTGAGATTTCACTGGCTATTGCAACTTTATTTTATATACATATTTTATTCACAGCAGTTCAAGTGGAGGTGAATTTATTTTCTTTTTTGAGTTTATTGGTTTGACTTGATGATTATGTTGCTATGCTTCGGAATAAAACATTTGGTCTGAAAGCCATAAGAATAAAATAAATGAGACTAGCCAGTGCAGCAGCACAAACTTTGTGTATGTGAATATAATTTATTAGTTGAATCAAAAAACTTGGAATTCTTCAGTAACAATTATTTTTTTGGTAAGTTTGGTGGTGTACTGACGATTTAAAGTGGCAATGTGTAGTTTTACCTTCAATCACTGGAAATATCCATCAAAATGTTGAAAATGAATAAAACCATGTCCACTCATTAAAAATGATTGCCGGCTTTGTAACATATAACCATAAAAATTGGGTCTAAAGCACACAGAGCGTGGGTCTAGCGTCTTTGGGGATGCCATATAAGTAGGGCTGCAACTAACGATTATTTTCATAATCGATTAATCTGTCGATTATTTTTTTCGATTAATCGATTAATCGGTTCGTTATTGTTTAGCTATTTAACCTATACAAGTGATGGATGCATTTCAGTTAAGAAAAAAATATATAAGAAAAGTGTGCAGTTGACTGCAATCTATTTTATTGCACATGAAAAGTCAGCAGTATAAAATGAGCTAAACAGTGCAAAATATCAGTCCAGAATAATTTTTTAGCATTAGCTGGAAGCCTGCTCCTTCCACCATGGATAGTGGCCTCATGTCTTTTACCAGCATGTTTAGAATAGAGTTTGTAAGTGGTATGAATTGCTGGGGGGTGAGTGTCTTGTTCCCCATGTAGTTGTCCATCGTTGCTTGTTTTTTTCTGCATAAGAAACACAAATAGACTGAAATAAGTACACATATAAAATAAAGCAGCACACACACTACAACACTAAATATTATATTATTTGAATTAATTAACAATATACAGTGATCATTTATTTTGAGGATTACGTTCTACAAAATAGCCCGCAACAGGAGATATTCAGAAAAAAAGTCTAATTTTTTTTACTATTAAAAAGCTCTAAGTAAGAAGCTCATGAGGTTTTTATTTTGAGTCGGGAGTGTTTAAATTAGCTAGAAAATGTGAAAAATGTTTATTTTGTGTAATACTGTTTAAGAAACATGATAAAAATGTGTTGTGAGGCGTTTTACAGCGTTAGACAGTAAAACAGCCTTTTAATAGTAAAAAATGACTTTTTCTGAATTTCTCCTGTATTTATAAATTGAAAGCGTACAACTATGCCGCGTTATATTCACCTGGACACAGCTCGTCTGTATATTTTTCTCCGCGGAGTTGTCCTTTTTTGAATGAGGAACATGGTTATGGGTTTGTGCCGTTTTTCTCTTAACCAGAACATTCTTATAAACAGACGTGCTAAATTTGGCAAGCGCATGATACACAACACGGAGGAGATTCACGATTGCATCTAGTCAATCAAAAGTAGAACACCGTAGACTGACGCGGCAAAAAAACATGTTTAACATCCACTATAACGATCTCAGCTAAAACACTAAGTCCAGCTTGTTTATTTTCTGTTACTTACCGGGCTGGCTCTTCCAAATGACGGCTCACTTGACCGCGGTGCTCTTCCTCTGCTGCATCAGCCCCCACATGTTTTCGTCTCAAATGTTCACTTAGGGACGTCGTGCTTCCGTGCCATGCTAGATGGTTTTTGCATATTTTGCAGGTCACCCGTCTTTTCAAGGCATCTAGAGTGAAGTCCGGGGTTTCTCTTCAGTTTTGTCGCTTCTATTTTTCTTCCGTATTTCTTCTTGTTCCGCCATCTCACAGCAAGATGAGCGTCAGTAACGTGATACGTCATGAAAACCGAGGGCACTCATTGGCTCATTTCTTCTTCTACGGCTCCACTGGTAGATCAGTGGCTCATTACTGCCACACACTGGCGGCAAATTTAACAGATTGTAGCCGATGTCAGATTGTGGTAAAAATAGACTTTATGCGGTAAAATATGATTATTAAACAACTAATCGATGACTAAAAAAGTTGTTAACTATTTTAATAATCGATTAAATCGATTAGTTGTTTCAGCTCTACATATAAGACACCATGTTTCTTTTTGGCCAGCCCGGTGTCCTGTGCCTGTTAATGACGTCACACTACTTTTCCATGTTCGCAAACATTTCAGTAGTAAGAAACATTAATTTAATAGCAAAACTGTTAAACTCTTTCCAGAAGCTATGTGAAAAAACATAATCAAAAAAGAGATGCAACATATTTTGGCCGAGTGGAGTTTCTGTAGTATGATGATGTCATCAGCAGGCACAGGACCCCAAGCAGATCTGGAAACTACAGAACCAGAAAACTACAATCAGCATTGCATTATCTCAATGGAGTTAACTGAACTATCAAAGTTTGAGGAGTCACGCTGAGGTTGCATGCTTTCTGCTCCACAGGTAATATTTACTGCAATGTTTTTTTAAAGTAGCGACAGTCACGGTGATATGGTGTAAAATTACCCTGAAATGTATGTATGTACTACCCCCTAGTGCCAGGAAACTACACACTGCCACTTTAAAGGCAAAATTCATCAAGCCAAAAATCAGACTTCAGAATGTATTTGTTTATTTGTTTATGCTATTTGAGCTCCAAACCAAGTTGTGATCTTAAACATGTTCACTTTAATCATATAATGTCTTCATTTCATTACCTGACCTTATTACTGTGTTTCTCTGGCTCTTACGTTCTCTGTCACTATGTTTTTATGCCTCTAAACTTGACCACTTGATTCAAAATTTAAGATGATTCTTTGTCAGACCATTTATACTTTCATACAACATGGCACAGAATTATGTTTCAGGTCCCAGGAGTCAATAATGCAGCAATAATATGGTGTAATATACTGGTATAAAAATGTCCAAATGTACAGGTAGGGTGGTTAATGTACAGGAAGCAGAGGTTCTAAAGTTCCCCGTAATGAGTAACTGGCTGCCCAGTTTGGTTATGACTTTTTAAATTATTGTTTCAAAGCACTTTGTTCACACACAGATTGAAAGTGGATGTCCATATACGATGGTCATTCATAACCCACATTCCCTCTTTGCCACTGTAAGTGTGCAGAATCGTGAATGTGAGACCAAAAACTATAATAGGATGTCCTACAGCGTTTCATTCCAGATCTAGATCCCCTTGGACCAACAGGCTGCTGGGTAGGGTCATCGTATTTCCCACAGTTATCATGAGTTTCATCAGTTTGAGCCTTGAAGGCAACCCGACGCTGCAAGAGGAGAGCGGTGAATCAATGTGGGGACGACTGCTGCAGGGGAGTTGTGTTGACAAGTAGATGGTTTCTTGGTCCACAAAAACATCTATTTAATCCCATATTTCACTGGGCTGTAACTGTCAAAGGAATTTGCAAAATGTCTTGTTTCAAGCTGTTCTCCTTTGCCTCTTCAGGTTGCATGGACTTGCTCTATTTCTGATTGGAAGGGTTTGAACATGTACCCTTCCCTCTCTAAACATTCAGGTGTTTGGAATCCATCTCAACCAATTCTCAATATAGTTTTCATGGGTCAAAATGTGCAAGAAATGTGAGAACTGCGAGAGGGGTTTGTGACCCATTTGCAAAAAACAGACACAATTAAAGCTGCAATAGCAAATCTGCAAAACAAGCTGGCTTTGAAACACAAACATGGTTGCATAACTCTCACTCCTCATGTCAACTATCATCCCTAGGCCATGCACACCTAATACCAGAACATGCATTTCCACATTAAATGAGATTGTTGCTGTAGTGGTAGCAGCCAGCTGTTTCTCATTCTCTGGTATTACTGAGGGGAGAACCTCTCACGCCAGTGGTGTTCTGTTGCTAAATACATGAGTGCGTTATGAATGGAGGATCCATGGTAAAAGTGCTGAAGTGCAGCAGTTTGGTGAGACAGACAACTGGGTGGTTGGGGTTTTATTTATATGTTTGTGTTGGCTGTTATTTGTCTGTTTTCTCAGTGTTTTGATGGTTCTATTTTTGGTTGGTGTTAATTTTGCACCGCGAGTAGCAGTTCCAATCTGAGGAATGAGATCCTGGTGCTGTTCGACTTTTCCAATGTGTCCAACAATAATGTTGGCTCTAAGTGTGTTTGCGCGTGTTGGATGCTAGGTGTTATCATTCTTCCCAACCAAATCAGCATTGTAAAACAAATTGTTGTGTTTTTATGTTGAGGCAATGACCACAGTTAGTGGCAGCTGTTGAAAGTAATTTATAAAGTAATCTAATTAACTTAGTTACTATTGACATACAGTAATCATTGTTTCCATACTTTTGAATGGAAACAGCAGTCAGTAATCAAATTACAGTTTCAAGGTAACTGGCAACATTGGTTACAACAGTGTTAAGAGACGTGAAAGATATGTATGTGATGGCTTGTTTTGCAGATTTGTCATTTTAGCTTTAAGACCCTTTATGATGAAATTGACAAATTTGTTGCTTGCTGGTTGCATTTTCTATGCAATTATGCTCTAAGATCTATGGGACCCAGTCACATTTTTACCAAATGTTTTTTGCATACCAGCTCTACATTAACATAGTTTATATTTATGCCACATGTCTGACTAGTCAGCAAGAGTTTTAGAAGTGACCCTGGCATTAGTAACATCCATGTGAAAACCAAGATGCAGGTTTTTCTTGCAAATTGTCAGAACTCTCACTATTTTAACAGAAAGTGTTTTGCTGTTAGGGTCAAGAATATCAGTTTAGTGCCAGTAACCTGACAAAATACAAAAATTATGAGACACAGCTGTCCTTATTTTTCTGCTGGGTCATCCAAATGTCATGCAAATACCATTTTCTGCGCTGATGTGTTTGCATTTATTTTGCAGGTGAAAATGAGGAGGAAGCTGAAGAGTACTGACAAGGACAACTATCCAACTTCTCCCACAGTGCCCAGCATCACCTGCGACTCAATATTTGACAGCGGGAGAGAACTAAGTTCAGATGTTTACAGCACCATCGGCACAGGTTCCAAAACTTGCTTGTCATAGTGGTTCAGCACCTTTTACATTGACATCACTAGATGTAGGGCAGATATTAAATCATCTGATATTTATGCTAAGCTATGCACATTGTTTTATTAAATTAACAAAGAGTGTTTCCTGTCAGTGAGTATGCAAATAAGAAAAGAGTAAACAATGCAGCCATGTCTGCAGATCAAACTTTTGTCGATGGTACCTTAAACATGTTGTTAGATTTGAAGGTGAGAAGATTGCAATTTCAAGAGATTTTTTATTTTTTATTTTTAGCATTTGGCAGATAAAAAGGTAAAGGTAGGTTTTTTGCAGAGAGAGTGGAGCATTTTAGAAATACCCTTCAAACACTAAGAATTAATAATAAAGAACTAATCCGTTTGGTAAAATATCACAGGTCAGTGATTAAGCATCCGAAATTCATCACATTATATGACATTTCCATTTCTAAAAAGCATTTTCCGATTTGTGTGGAAAAAGTTAGATGAACGCATTAAGCTAAATTAGAATCAAAATGCGTTCCTGTCTGTCTCTCTGTTGGCCATTTAGCATATTGCAAACCGTCTGCTTGGGATATGTTCCAGTTTGCCAATGACACCAAGAAGGATAAAGGGGCTGTTGGGAATACACTGACTCATCTTAACATTGTGTAAAAAACATACTTTTATCTGGAGAAAGTGGAACAGTTCTATTCCTATTACAATGTGGAAAAAAACTTACAATTGAAGTAAAAATAAAATGCAAAAATCTAAACCCTCATGGATAAAATAAAGACATCACCACTAAAACTTTAAATATTTAAATCAAATATTTGCCTCCAGCACTGTTATCCATTTTCCTTTGAATACGAAAGGTTTACCACTGAGTTGCATCATTTTGTAAATCATAGGTAGGCAAGGTGTGTGTACACATGGAGTATTGAGTCAGAATGTTTAGATTTGTAGAAAAATGAAGATTCTCTCTCTCTCTCTCTCTCTCTCTCTCCCTCTCTCCCTCCCTCTCTCTCTCTCTCTTCCTACACGCACACACACACACACACGAGAAATAAATGTAAATTCATATTTAATCACTTGTAATGTCGAATGTTTTCTGCACATTAGTTAACAGAGGTGGATGAATACTGACTGGACAAATGGACGGATGTATTGATAGATTAGTACAGGATTGATGAAAGGGTGGATAACTGGATGGATGGTTGGATGAATGGGTGGAGGAGTGGCCAGTGTTCTCTGAAACGTTCCATGTGAACTGAATGGACTCTCACCTTTATTATTCACAACACTGCATGCAGGGTGTTAATGGATATGCTGTACAAAGAAGAACAAAGAAAGATGCCAGAGAGGACACTCTGTGTTGAAAGGATACTTTTAGAACATCCATAGCATGAAACAGCTAATTGGAGGATGCTGCTTGTGATCTCTATGAGTTTTTTGTTGTTTGTATTGCCTCACACACGAAGAGCTTGGATGGCTGACTGCAGCTCTCCCACCAACATGTAACTCAGCAAATGTTTGTGCTTTGCACTCAGCTCTGAGCATAACAGCAGGGTTTAATTTACCCTGTTGTAAAGATGTGTATACTTCATGCTCACAGTTAAATCTCTGCCTTTGATTTGAATCTAATCTGATGCTAGAGGCCAGACTGCTCATCTAGCATAACAGCATGTTGCTTTTAACTGTGATGCATTTTAGTAAATTAGCACATTCAAAGTATGCATTGGTCACAGAGACTGCATTTCAAGTAAGACAGGTCTTTTGTGTATTTTTAATGTCGCTCTGAAATATAAACATCCCACTGAACAGTTTATTGTTGAAACCAAAAAGCCTGAGTGACATCGAAATTGTCTGTAAATGTTGAGGGTATAGTGATAACAATGCATTATATATGCAAACACACAGTGATGTAGGTGGGCCTGTAAACACTTGGTAGTACCGGAACTTTGCAATTTTATCTCTCAAAGTATGTATATATATATATATATATATATATATATATATATATATATATATATATATATATATATATATGTATATATATATATATATATATATATATATATATATATATATATATATATATATATATATATATATATATATATATATATATATGTGGTGCTGAGCGATGGGTACATACACATTTTTACAATTTGCACTGCATTAACACCATTCTATCATTTTCCCTTTGTGTCAGTTGGCAGGCAACCCTTTACCTGACATCGGAATATAGAAACTATTACAAACTCAAAATCAGCAGTGTAATATTTGAAAACTTTCATTAATTGTTTTCTTGTCTATTTTTCCATTTGTTCATTTGGTTGTTTCTATATTTAAATGAATTGCTGCTGATTAAAAAAACATAGTTTTAGTTACTGACTTTTGCTTTTTTATCACTCAAACTGTAACATGAACTGCAGACATGGTTATCTGTCACGCTAGTTTCCTATTTTATCTCTCTGTAGTTGTTCAGCTTCCTTCCCTCAGTTTAATAGCTTATTTTCTTGCTTGTGTCTTTTTTCCTCTCTTCTGATGTTTTATCCGTGTGCCTGGTTTAGCAGGATCCCAGGCACTTGGAGGATGTGGTAAGCTGCTGTCAGTGTCTATGTTCTGCACTCATCCTTTGTACATGCACTGTTCTTTCCTGTGTTTTTTAACAGCTGTCTGGTTTCCTAATTATGTGACTAAAACAACACACATGTGCTCCACAAACCTGTTATTTCCTGTAAATTTCAGTTCCTGTCATGGTCATGTTTTTGTGTCCTGTTGTGTGTGTGTGTGTGCCTCAGATCGCCAGCAGTCGTGGACATCTTTATCTTCTCTTCAGTTCAGCTCATCACCTCCAGGTAAATAATCTGTTAGTTTAGAGTAAACATCACCCAAGTTCAAATGGGTTAGAGTTAGGGTTCAAATACCTTAGGTGTGAACTCAAACACACAAGCTGGTGTATTCAGTTGACCTTATGTTTTATCTGATTGTTGTGTATTAAAAAATTATATTCCAGACCTGTGTTTGTGCTGGACTCACACCAACACATGAAATTTAAACCATTTTCCTACTTCAGTAAATGAAAATACATACCTGCCTGTCGAAGCATGTCAAGATACATTTATTCTGGCTAACAGCACAAATTAAGAACTTTCCATTTCAAATCCATCCAACGCCGTGTCACTTCACACCATTTTTCCCCTTTTTTTCACACATCAAAATCATGAACCTGTTGTATCACACTTCTCTAACTGGTGTGGTTTCAAAACACCGCAACTCTAGACTGAATCATCACTCGTTTTCGCGCAGCCTTCGACAACAAGTCAGCTGGCTCTGCATTAATTAATTGTTTATTAATTATTATTTTTTTTTAATTTTATTCTATTCTATTTCAGGAAAAACTCTAATCCCCACGTGACCAATTATTGTGATATATCACATCATAAAAGAATCTTGCGCTCGACTCAAAGCAAGAGTTTGAGAAATATGACACCAAATGTTAGTGTTAAACAGAAATGGGCAGTAGAAAAGGCTTTTTGTGCTTTTCTTCCAAAGATTACTAGAATTCCACCTTTAAAACTAAATAATATTACTGATAAAAATATAACATGTTGACATGGAATCGTGTTTTGCCCCGGGTATTTGTGCTCCATCTATTTAAAATCCTCTGATTCTAACCACTTAATTAGTGGAAGGTCTAATGTGCATGATAGTACCGTCTGAAAGTGTACACCAGTTGAACACTCTCCACCTACTCCCAAACTGGGTTGGCCATGAAGCATGTATAAAAAAGAAATAATGAATTGAAAGAACCATTTAGGAGCTGCTGTTTAGTTTTTCCCTTGTGGGCTCCTGCAATAACACGGTTGTTCAACATGGCAAAGGGCCAAGGAGAACGAAGACAACACACAAATAGATTTCACACTACTTCACACGACATGTTTTTTCTCTTTTCCTGGTAATTTATGCTAAATCTTACACAGTCAAACTAAGTGCTTGAGAAATGTTGGATATTGTAATCGCACAGTGTTTGAATTGACAGGCAAAATAAGATGATTTTGAAGCAAACATTTGCTTTGCTTTTAATGTGTTTTGATAATGAATGAGATGGAAGTGGGTGTTTAATTCATAAGTGATGCAACCGGGACTTTGTCTTCTGCTTGACTACAAATACGAGGTGAGACGAGTCAGATTCTGTTAGTCGTTCTACGCTACAGTAATGAACAAAGAGACAGTCTGCCATGAAAGGATGCTGGGCTGCTCAAATTAGGGGAGGAATGAAAGAAAACCCATGTTTCATTTTAGAAAAAACTAGAAAGTACAAAGTGACAAGAGAAGCAAAGGGAACAGATCAACAGCATTCTGTTCCCCTTGGACAGGTAGGGTCAGTCTTAAAGGGATACTATCCAACTTTTTCATATTTATCATTCATTTGAGCCAGTATGACCCTTTACGTAATGAAATGTCACTCAGAATCGCTCTGTGGCCAGAGTGCTGGTCCGGTCCCTGTAGGACTTACTAAAGTGGAGCTGACATACCTGAAGCTGACGTCTGCTTCCTGCATGTTTCCTGCATGTTTTAGATCACGACCATAGCTTATTTGTTTGATTTAATGATGAATCACTCCTGTAGACACTAATGAAGGCTGAGGAGACATTTCAGCTGGCTGGCCTTAAAAAGTCTTGGGACTGCCATTCTGCAGCGAAATGAGACCGGGCGGGTGACCAGCATGAGGAGAAGGAGCCAAGTGTTGTGGCTGTGAATGGACCTTCCACAAACTACTGAGGCAACTATTATTATTGTGCATTGATCATCCAATCAACCAAGCAGCTAAAACAAGAGTAAATACCAACAGGAGAATTTTCAGAACATTTTGTTTTATTTTTGAAGCACTATCCCCACTTTCAACTATGATGGTATGATTGATACTTAAATGACGTATTTCATTGTAAATTTGACTAATGAGGCTTTCCAATTATTTAAATATTACACTAATTATATTTTTTATGAGGCAATATTGTTGACTGAGAAATCTCATCACCTCAGACTTTAAAGGCATTTATATTGAGCCTCCTTCAAATGAGAACAAAGTAGAATAAATATTATAGGTTTACTGTCAACAACATAGTCCCCAGAGAAAAGGTGCCTCGTGCTGTGAAGCGTAGCGGTGGTTTGTTGATGATGTGAAACTCCTTTTTAATTAAAATGACACTAAATATCTTGTTAAGATCCGCAATAGTGTCAAAACTATCAAATACATCATTAGCCATGCCAGATTATTTCTATACACAAAACCATCTGCAAGGAGCTCCAGGGAAGGTGCGTAGGCAAAAGTGTAGAGCACTGAAGCAGCACCAGCACACCCAGTCTGATGAACCAGCTTTCGCTGCATGGCGACATGGTTTATGCAAATTGTTTTCTTTAAACTGATTTTTCTTAGGACTGCGGTTTCACAAATATCAGCTTATATATATACTCAACTCAGCCTTTATTTATAAAGCACCTTACATGCATGAGCATGCCACCAATGTGCTGTACAATTACAGAATAAAACATATAGCGCCACAGACATAATAAAACCACAAATGAGAATTACAAAATATAAAACATTAACAATTGCTAACCTACAGAATTAAAAGCCAGATCATAAAAGTAGGTTTACAGCCTCATTTTAAAAACTGCTACTGATGGAGAGCCCCTAATAGTTAGGGGCAGTGCGTTCCACAGTTTCGGACCCACAACAGAGAACGCTCTGTCCCCTCTCAACTTCAACCTGGCCTTAGGAGCCACAAGTAGCAGCTGGTTCTCAGAGCGGAGTGACCGGGCCAGAACATTTGGCTGCAGCAACTCCGTCAAATAGGCTGGAGCCACACCACTCAGCGCATTAAACACCATTAAAAGAAGTTTAAAACTAATTCTAAAATCAACAGGCAACCAGTGGAGAGCAGCCAAAATTGGTGTCACGTGTTCACGCTTCCTTTTGTTGTCCAAGAATCTTGCTGCAGCATTCTGGACAAGCTGCAGCCGGTTTACAGTACCCTTACTTACACCAAATAAAACAGAATTACAATAGTCGAGTCGTGAGGTAATAAAAGCATGAACAACAGTCTCAAGGTCACGTCTAGATAAAAACGGCTTTACTTTAGCCAAACGTCTTAAATGATGAAATGAAGAGGATACTACAGTACCCACATGAGCATCCATGCAGAATGCACTGTCCATCTTCACGCCAAGGTTGACTGCTGAAACACCCAAATAGGAGTTCAGTTCACTGCAGTCTACGTTTGAAAAATCAACATGTCCGCTCGGACCAAACAACAGTGCCTCTGTTTTTTTCTTCCCATTGAGACACAGGAAGTTTTCTGCCAACCATATCTTAATTTCTGCCAGACAATCCAAAAAAATTTTTATCTTGTGATCACCGGCGCCATCTAGAGGCAAGTGCAATTGGCAGCCGTCGGCATAGAGATGGAATCCAATTCCAAACTTTTGTAAAATGTCACCCAATGGGAGAATATAAATTGAAAACAGCAAGGGTCCCAGTATTGAACCCTGCAGTATCCCCCATGGCAGATGAGCGAAGCCCAATGAGAAGCCACCCATCCTCACACAAACCATCCTGTCACGTGAATACGATCTAAACCAGTCCAGGACTTGCCCAGAAATTCCCACATGATGTTCAAGGCGATGGAGCAACACTTCGTGGTCTACAGTATCGAAAGCTGCTGTAAGATCCAATAGGACAAGCAGCACTGGACTGCCACCGTCTGTTGCTAAAAGAATGTCATTAAAGACCTTGATAAAGGCAGTCTCGGTACAATGCAACATTTTAAAACCGGATTGGAGGGTCTCTAAAATATCGAAGTCCTTAAAGAAGTCCATGAGTTCAGTATAGACACATTTTTCAAGCATCTTACCCAAAAAAGGGAGCTTGGAGATTGGCCTATAATTCACTGGTAAGGAAGCATCCAACCCAGGTTTTTTTAAAAGTGGGTGAATAACTGTTTTTTTTTAATCCGTCGGTACAAAACCAGAAGCCAGACTGTTATTGATTATGTGCAAAATCAGTGGTGCAACTGTTGGAAAAACTTCCTTAAGCAAACGGGGGGGGGGGGGGGGGGGGGGAGGATATCTTCTGGTGACCCACTAGGTTTAGACTCGTTAAACAGACTGGTGAACTCTGAAAGTGATACTAGATAAAAAGAGACCAGCCGTTCCTCAAAAGACGTAGAGGAGCTTAACACACTAGATTTAGGCAGGGCGTCTCGCAGCATCGCCACCTTGTCGATAAAAAAGGTGTGTATATATATATATATATATATATATATAAACACTCTTTACCAGAAAATATAAGATAATGCATTTAAAATAATTTGAAAGCTGCAAATCTTTTAACTGGGAAGAATTTTAAAATAACATTTAGCAATGAAAAAGGGGCAAAAGCTGTCCTCAGAAACAGAAAGCTTTAAAATGGCTAGAAATGTATGCAGGACGCCATTGTTGTCAAAGATGCCAGTTCAGGGAACCATTTATGAAATTTGCTGATTTACGTTCTCTACTTGTGTGGATTTACCCTTTCTTATAAAAGCATGCTAAATAAAAAAAAGTTTACTTGTAAATGCATTTTGGAAATAAATAAATATAGACTGTCCACTGGTATGTTCATCATCCAGGATTTCTAGAGCTTTTCTGCCAGATTTTTGCCATTTATTGTGGTTGTGGACTCTGATTGAATTCCCCATCTTTAAGTGACTGCTAATGCAAATCAGAGCTCTGTTTAGAACAGGCAAGGGCATCTGAGGCCACAATGATTTTACATAATATAAATAATTTCAAAATCATTGAGGGTTTTGAGAAAAGTTGTGTTTTCAAGGATGTATTTTTGTGCGACATCCTGTCTGTTTAATTTTACTGCAATAAAAACTGAAGAAGAAATTGGAGAAAAACAATTTCTACAAACCGGTAAGTAATGAATTCAAACCTTGAAACAGGAACAGGTCACCACATCGATGATCACATTTAAATCGCTGTGTTTGTGTGATCATGTGCAGTGAAAAGAAGCATCGGTCTTTTGGATACCCAGTCCTCGAACCTTTTCCCGAGGAACTGCAGCTTTGCAGACGACATGGAGCTGGAGTCGGAGCGAGAGAGTGAACTGGCTCCTGCCACCTCACTATCACAGTGAGTTCGCCCCCTTCTCATTGAAGTGCTGTTGCAAGAGACATTAACACCACATTGTTTACAGTGTTCCTATGTGAGTGAAAATTTAAAGAGTGGAAACAGGAAGATCTGCATATATAGTGTGCTGTTTGTAATTAACCTTTGCAATATGCCGGACCCAGAGGTCTCATGATGCTCTGTTCCACATGCTGCAACCGATATGAGGAAATGAGAGTTAAGTAACTGCACTGTAATGTAAGAGCACAGTAAGTGAAACAACTGGGGCGACAGTTTTGACCCGTGGGACTTGCTTTCTAAACGGCAGTGTAATGATACAGAGTGAGAACTGCATGCAGCAGGGTTGTTGGCAAGATAACTCTGTGCTCTGTTGGCTCCAAAATATGTAACCAGCTGTTCTCAAAGAGCAACGCCACATCAAATCCCATGCTAAATTGAGCCATCATGAGATAGTACTGTTTATGGTTTCCATGACGATCAAATAAAGTGTGAGAAATCCTTGGAAATGTTATTTATTCAGCTAGAACATTTTTTTTAATTCAATTTGAGATTAAATTCCTCCCAAATATGTCCCTGTCATATTTATGAATAGAAAATGTCAAGTTTTTTTCTCTCCAAAAAGCTGATTTTGATCTTCCATGTGGTATTGTGAATAGAAGATAATTGGGCTTTAGCATTATAGTAAAAAGGCCACACATCTTTTTAATTACAAACAAAAAAGGCTCTTTGTTTAATGCAACCAGAAGACATACAAGAGAAGTGATAAGAAGAGATTGGAACAAAGGAGTTTGTGAGGTGAGAGATAAAAACATTCAGCTTCGCATCAGGAATACTTCTGAGCAATCGAAGGTTGTAAAAGAGCAAGACATTGTGTAATTAATGGAGAAAACAAGCCAAAGCTAAGAGATAATGATAGTGACAGAGGTTATATTACATTAAATACAAGGAGGCAAAACAAGACGGTTTCTATTTTTGTGAAACAAATCAGAGTGCCTTTGTAACGAGGAAGTTAGAAGTGTGTTCAAACAGAAAGTGGTAACCTCAACACTAAACGAGAATTCCCATGAACTGTAAAACACATGTAAAGAATAATGTTACCATGTCAACAGAGAAAAATGTTGGATAATCTGAAGCCACCCCAGTGTGAACCTTGTTTTTCAAGTTCAGCGAGCTGCTGGCTGTATAATTCAGCTGTTCAGGACTCCAAATTTCTCAGGAAGGTCAGTGGTAATTCCCCATGGCCACAGTATTCAGTTATTCCCATTGTTTTATTGTTCCTTTTTTTTAATTTCTGATGCTAAATTTCCAGTGAAGCGTAATCGGATTCTAGGCTATATGACAAACGTTGCCCACTTGTGGCTGAAGTGGTAAATAAATATTAACAAACCATAAATAACAAGAGAACTAGAGTGCTTGTAGAAAAAAAAACCTACTGGATATGTTTTAAATCTCAGAACTAAGGAACATATAAGATATGTAAAAATAAGTTAGTCAGTATAATGAGATTTTGTAAGAAGCAGTATTATAGTGATGTATTGGAAAATTTAGAACCAATGTTAAATGCACCTATAAGATAATAAATAAAATCATGAAAAAGAAATGGTCGTTCAATGTGAGTTTGTACATTTTATTTGTATCATCACAGACAGAAAATCATAAAAGATCAAAACAAAACATAAAGTCATAAAGTGTGGAAAAATGAATTAAAAAAGAGAATGAAGAAAGAAAATGAATAAGAAAAGTTAAAAAAAAACAAAAGATCCCGGGAAAGACTGAATTGGTAGTAACAGCAGGATGAAAGGAAGGGAGTGAGGAGGAATCAACAAAAGGTCACACCAAAGCCAGCCTGAACAGATGAGTTTTCAGCTGCTTCTGGTTGGTGAGAAAAAATAATAAAAAAGGACAAGTTTGTGAACTGGATACACAGAATTTGATATTAAACAGGTAAAAATACTACACACTGGGGATTTAAGTCTTTTCTAGTGAATAATATATTTTCTTTATGGACTAATTATACGATAAAATGTCTTTTTGCTTTCTAAGAATTTTTTGCAGTGTGTCTTTTTTTGGAGTGTAGAAAATGTTTATTTTGAATCCTAGGAATCCTAAGGTAGAAAGGGCCAGTGTGTGTTACAAGTTTCTGTCTACACCCTTTTGGACACATAAGTCAACTGGAATCCGTTGTTGTTTGTACCAAAATAAATTAATTCATTCAAACTTCTAACTATTAACAATTATGTTATATTTCAAAGTTTTATTCAGATATGTACTCAATATAACATATTTTAATTTTGTATTTTTAACGTAATACACTAATACTAATGTGAAGAAAAAAACGTGTCTTATTTGCAGATAGTTGTGAAAAAAAAACTATTTCCCATAAATAAAAGTGTTCATTTCTAATTTTACATAAAAATATTGACTGCATTCGATAAAAACATATAAAGAAGAACCCAGGGGTAAAGGCAACATGATTTCCTTCTCTTCTTTTGAGTTGAGCTTTGACTAAAATAATACCCAAATCATTACTAGTGCTGAATATTCAACAAGAGCTTAGTATTTAAAATAAACGGACACAACACAAATTCGTGATTTAGGGTTTCGTTCAGTTTCACCTCACATGTGCTGCCAGCCTAACAGCATCTCTATGAACTCGCAGTGTTCCCATATTTAAATGAGGTAATGTGTATGTGTGCATTTAAATGAAACCCACCAGGTTTGTAACTTGCTGCCTTGGCAAAAAGGAGGATTTTAAAAGAGCTGATTGGTTTGTGCCATGCATTTAGCATGAAATTCTCTTACTTTGAAAAGTTGGTGTTTTTTTGCATCTTTGGCAAAAATAAAGATAGAGAGAGAGGGGGGGAGAGAGAGAGAGAGGGGGAAAGAGAGAGAGAAACAGTTTGAGCTTTCAAAAAAGAAGGGCACGTGTGTCGAGAATTTTTTTCCAATGATGAGTGTCAGGAGCTGGCATTGAAGTGAGCTCTTGGGGCGTGGGGTTGTCTCACCCTGGCCTGTACTGGTGCCCCTGAAGTCCCAGGCTCCTCCTATTCCATGTGCTTGGGTCTGTTCTCAGGGCTAACTGATCGGTGTCCGTCTATATCAGCTGCTGGGGCATGAATCCCCCCTTTCCCTCTCCCTCTCTTTCCCAGTTTGTGTGGTACGTCTCTTTTCTCCCTGCCTGTCCGTTCTGAGGCGTAAACAAATGTGTTCTAACATGCCACAAACATGATAAAGGCGAGTGGGAAACAGGAGGAATATCCCACATCACTCTTGCTTTAGAGTAAAACTGCTCTGGCATATTCTGACACCCGGATCAACCAATCTGTCAGGACAGGACAGGTTACAAAAAAAAAAGAAAAGTTGGCTTCACAAATTAATGTTATTGCTGTTTTATATTACTAATCAAAACACGGGATGTAGTAAACACAAACTCAAAGAGCATTCCAACAACAAAAGTATTTTACAGAACAATTACCACAGCCTACATCCATCCCCAAACTCTAATTTAAACATAATATAAATGAGTAACAATTTATTTATTTGTTTGTTTCATTGTCAAATTAAAATGAGAAGATGCAGGGCTCGATCAGAAAGCACCAATGATGGCATTTCTGCTTGATAAAGTCAATAGTTGTTGTTTTTTTGCACTTAAAATGAATGGTTCTGTTGGAGCTGAGGTACATTCTTTTTTATTGTCACCTTAGTCGGGCGTGTTTGGGACAGATGTCCGTCTTCCGATTGTGCATTGAGAACAAAGGCAAGTTAAAGAAATGCAAATTGTTCTGAGTTGTTAAACCTGATGGTGGTTTGCACCAACTTAGTGCTATTTACTTTGTTTGTTACTTTGCTACTTTGCTTTTTACTTTGTTTTAGGAAGGATAAAGTAGGAGGCGCAAGTGAGATACAGCAAAAGAGGTGTAAAGCGGTCCTGTCATGTCATCTCATATCATAGGGAATAACCCCTTTTAAGATGCATGTTTTTCATTAAAAATAATACCTGTTTTATTCTTTGGAATCTAAGATATAATTGAGTAGTTTTGAAAACTGTATCTGTAAAATTAAGATTTCTGTACCAAACGTTCAACTAAGTCTTAAAGAAATGGTGTCCTTAATGTTTTGATGATGTCCATCGAAGGAAGAGGAAACTGTTTCATTACTTACATAATTTGCATCATGTGTATGAAAAATTGTCATCTCCATTTTAAAGTCAAGCATATTTGCCTCACTGTTTGGTCTCCAGTTACATCACTATCCCATATTCTTTTTATTATAAAAATGGATTTCTGTAATAGCTCAGCGAGGACATTATTGACATATTATCCTGTTAATTTGACCAAATGTTATGATAGCCTTTTTGCAGCTCAGCCCATTGCTCTGCCTTTGAGAGCTGTATAATGAGACTCATACAGACCCTTTTTTTTCCCACAGCGAGCGCGACTCAACAACACGTTCAGCGCTCTCCCACCTCACAGACTCATTCACTGCTTTTTCACTGTAATGAACCCTGATAAGTAACAGCTATTCAATAATTCCCACAGCCTAATAATGTAGGCTAACTACCTCACAATCACTCTGGGCTTTTTACTGTTTTTCATCCGTCTTTGTTCTCGCTGTTCATCACCGTGGTAACACTCACAGCAAGGCGAACCGTAAGGGAAAGGCTTTGATGTAGGCTGAGCAGCAATCACAAGCATGCTTAATATTTTCTTCTAAACTGATGAGCTTGGGTGTAAAGGCCATGTCATCCATCTTTTCTTTGTTTCTGTGGGGGAAGACACAGCAGAACTGCAAAACAACTAACTTTGAACTTAAAGTTTTGTGCAAGGTCATCTATTTTTTTATTTTTTCTGAGGCAGCTGTTAGATTATTTTAAAAGGAAAATTCATTTGAAAGTTGTTGTTTTTTTCCCCCAGACTGACAGAGTCACATCGAAAAGCCATCCGTGTGATCCAGAGAATGCGTTACTTTGTGGCCAGGAGAGATTTTCAGGTACCAGCATATTACTATTTTCTCAGAATGCATTTCTCTACACAGGTGTCTTTTCTTAAATATGTTGTTTAATGTTTTGGCATGGAAAAGCATATAAACATAACATGCCTTACAGAGTATAAAAATAAATACTTTACAAATGAGCACTTAGAGAAAAAATGGGGGAAATTTTTAAAAATGTTCTGCTATTATTAAGTATGTATGTGTAAAAGTTCTATTTACTGCACTGCTTATTGTAAATAGATTATAGATAGCTTCCTGAACAGACTTGTTCAAAGAAATAGCTTTTTTGTTTGAGAGGACTGATGAGCTAACAGCTATTCTGAGCACAGCTAACACTAAAGTGTATGTCTGCTGGCTTACAAGCTGCTATGTCCCAAAATGCAGTAGCACTTTGTGCTAAAGTATTCCATTCATGTTTACTGTTTGGATTTGCTCAAGCTAGCTGTTAGCTTGTTGGTTATGTTGCCCCAATCGTGTCACGATTGGGGAAAGTAGAATAGAACCACCTCTCACAGAAAATAGAGAGCTGCTGCTAGAGGAGCAGTGGCTCTACTCCAAGCTCCTCCCAGATATCAGAGCTTCTCAGCTTATAGCAGCCTGAGCAGGGCATGTGTGGGCGTGGCCAGCTCCAGCTAGTGACAGAGCCCTGAAATGGCTCATTCATGAATAAAACTGCTGAAATTGCTTCATGTGAGAGAGATTCAATAAAAATAATTTCATGAACATGTTTGGTATCAACTGTAGAACTATTATAACGTAGAAACAATGTCCCCCTTTAAAGTTTGTGTAAAACACCAAAATTGGGAAAAAAGAACTGAATTGATTAAACTGAGAGCTGATTTGGCTAATTATTGTAAAGTGTAATACCCAAATAAGGAATAAACAATGATTTCTGAGAAATAAAGCTAAACTTTAAAATGTGTTAACATCTAGAAAAATTCTCCTATTTGGATTAAACACAGGTTCTTTAAAGCAGCTGTGCTACAGGAACTGTCTGGAGTTTTGGGGTGATGAGGGATCACAAGAACATGTACGGCACAGTGTAAAACACTTTACAGTTCCCCCCGTATTTGTTAATAAAATAAAATTGATAGAGACAAATGACTGTGTGTACAGGACTAATTGGACTAATTGGGCTGGAAAACTCCCTACACCCTATGCTCTGCATCTGATATTAGCGAATTAGAAAGCCACAAACATCAAAAATATATTCTGTAAATAAAAGTTTTGCATAAAACCAAAACGTAACCATTAAGCAAGCAAACACTGATTTAGACCTCGGTCATTTAACACTTACCTTTTAATTACCTTTATGTTTCAGCAAGCTCGTAAGCCGTATGATGTGAGAGACGTGATCGAACAATACTCTCAAGGTCATCTCAACCTCATGGTGCGCATCAAGGAACTTCAGAGACGGTAAAGTGTTTAAGACGAGACAGATCCTCAGAGTAATGCATGGTGCTCAGGTGGTAAATGCCGCTTGCTTGAAAGCAGGACTCAAAACAACTTTGAACTCAAGAAAGGAACGCTGAGAGTAAATAAAGAGGGAATACATTTTCTCCTGACTTGATCCTCTGATTGTTTTTCTCAGACTAGACCAGTCTTTAGGGAAAATTACTTTGTTCCAGACGGGTTCAGGTAATAATTCACTTCACTTTGCACTCAGAATACTTGACGCTATCTTTGAAACAAACCACAAACCTAATCCTCTTCTTTTATTATTTACTCCTCTGATGTTTGCCTCTGAAGACCGAGCCAGAGACAAAGGCAACAACTCCATTGGATCAAGACTCAACCGCATGGAAGACAAGGTGGGATTCGTGCACCATCATTGGGAAATGACAAGAACTCCTCCACACCTGAGTGTTTTATATCTTTTTTTTTTTGTTTTGTATGTGTGTGTGTGTGTGTGTGTGTGTGTGTGGGGGGGGGGGGGGGGGGGCAAATGTTTACATCAAAATGAAAATGCATTTTATTCCTTTTAACATTTAAGGTTTATCTTTTAAACTTATTCTCCAGAGGCCGATGACAAACACAATAAACAAATCCACATCAAATGGATTTATGAGTAGTTCAAGCTAATGCAGCAAAAATATCAGTTTTTATTTATAAAATGAAAAAGAAAATGTCTCTTTATACATGTGGCCCTGCTATTATTGATTCAAAAATAAATCTTGAATTGACTGTGCCACTTCCACAGCACACAACAACGCTAGGCCTTTCACTTTCATTTTCAGAAATGAATCAAAGCAAACCCGTCGCCCGCAATTTGCTCCTCGAGTGTTTACAAATGCACACTTAAAACTGTGTATAATGTGATCAAATACAATGCACTTCTTTTGAAAATTGGGACTATGATTTTCCTGGAAATGTGATTCTTGTGAAAGTGCCACTTCATGTGAACAGGTTCACTCTTTGGTTTCTATACATTTTACCTTGATGATGCCATAAACGGCGAAGAGGCAGCGAGATCATTTTACAGAATGGGGAGCAAAAGAGCACACAGTTTGAAATCCATGATGATAATTTTGCAACATTAATTAGGAGTTTATTACCAATTTATAAGTTCATGTCTGTGTAAAAAGTGTAAATAATTATCACCTTACTCACTTTAGATAACTTAGAGAACAGCTTGTGTTAGGAGAAATAGCTAATGAATGAACAAGTACCCAAACACAGCAAAGACTGATTCTTGGAGCTGTTTAATTAAGGCAACAATCTACTTTGGACATGAATCCATCTGCAAAAGTTGCTGTTTAGCTCATAAATATATTCCTACGGATTCCATGTTAAAATCATAGTGTTGCCATTGTAAATCAGCTCGACTCTCTTAAATCTCTACAGACGTTATTTATAAAATCTTCACATTGTCACTCATTTTAAATAACATGGTTATTTCAGTAGAAATGCTTTTAAATCTCCGGAAGTTACATTGCATGAATTATATGAAATTTTGAAGCCAATTTAGGATGACAGCACACCCCTTTGGTTTTAGCTGGATTTGAACTAGCCATAGATCTTTCCCATGACAAGGGTTTTACCATTTTAAGCGCTTGCTTTCAAACTGGTTCCAGTGATTCTTGAACCCAAACGCCCAGCAGCGTCACATGGGGCAGCACTCTGTAGCCCTCTTCTGGCCTAAACTCGCACAAAGAAACTTTGTGGTTCAGGTAGGAACAAGTTCAAAGTGCAGCAGCAGTCAATTCAGTTTATTTATATAATGCCAAATCATGACAAGAGTCATAAGAAAATCATTGAGTTCAGTTCAGAATGCCAGTTAGTTAAAAGTGTCCTACATAAGGAACCCGGCAGATTAGATCGAATCACTCTTTGGAGGTAGTTCTTTTTTTAATTTTTGCTATTTTATACACGAACCAGGAATTACAACTGGAGAATAATTGAATGCAGCCATTTTAATTCAAAATGTCTGCCATGAAAATATGTAAATTGCATTTCACAGAACAGATGCCATTCAGGATTCTATCTACAAAATTATGAATGTTGCAGAAAAACCCACTAAAATGGTCTAAACGCAATTCCTTTGCAAACTTATTTCCCAAAAACTTTTCTTCCTTATTTATCTCTAAAGCATCGGTAAATTAAACTAAACTGGTTTGATTTGTGACAAAAATGTTTTAATATCTAATGCAAATCTTTCAGATAAGTCACATGGACCAAACTCTGAACCGCATGGCAGAGTCCCTAACCTTCCTCCTGGACCAGAGTGATGCTGGCAGTGATGCTGGCAGTGGAGAAAGCAGAGGCAGGCAGAGGCCGCGACTCAGGCGAACCTGTAATGTCCCCCACAGCCAGGACAGTCTGCCAAGCTACGACCAGCTGTCCTCATCCTCTCCGTCCTTCGTGTCCAACAACACCAGCAACACGGCTTGTCCCAACCCTCCTCTCAGCTCCACTGCCAGTCAGGATGAGAGCTGTTGAAAGCCTCAAAGATTGTCTCAATTTGTGCTTTCCTCGCCACGATGGGTTACTAAAGCTCACTGAATGTTCTTAACTGTCCATTGTTGGGTTTGTCCATAACAACCACACACAGCTGCATCTGCTTCTCTAAGTTATGCAGTCCTAAAATTTTAAATAGTATTACCACAACTTAACTTTAATTATGACATCCTGTGGTCAAATGTGGGTACTGCAGCCCATATTCAAAACACGCAAGTTTCATGGCTGTTCCCAGCTATAGATCGGCACCAGAAGATTCTAGAAAACAAGATGACGAGTCGTACACAATGAGTTGATAAATACATTTCACTTTAATATTGAGTTATAGGTAATTGACAAAGTAGCTTGAGATATTTTTTGAGCCAGCTTATTTCTAATTCCCCCGCTCTGACGGTCAGTGAACAGGGTGAAACAGTCCGTACACCCCCCCCCCCCCACCTCACCCACTCTCACGTATTTAAATTTTTAAAAGTTGGTAGCCCTGCTTTAGCATTGTTAGCTCAAGCCTCTCGCCTAAAAGTAACACAAAATAATGGTGTGGCAGTGGTCCGCAAATGGCGGCCCGCGTGCCACGTCCGGCCCGCGAGCCCTCTCTTTGTGGCCCCCAAACCCCGCGCGCACCCCTCACCCCCACTCCCGACGGCCGACCGCGAGGTTTAAGACAGAGCTGAGGAAAATAATCAAATAATCAATGCATGAGATGGAGGCATAAACGGTTTTGCATCATAGAAGAGTACCATAATCAATTATAGTGGAATGTAGTTGTGTTATTTTAACGGCGGCACCAGCGCAGCATCCAAATCTGTCAGAGCGGTGTTCTCCACATTTACCGGGTAGGAAACTTTGATCTGCCTTTATGTGGTACTGCAGGGCTGAGCGCTGGAGTTATAACCTGAGACCGAACCCGAATTGAATCAGCCCGACCTGTTCTTTTGGATTTGTGCCGTAAATTATGTTAATTGAACGTGTTGTCACGCGGTGCGCTCCGCTCGCTCGATCAGCAACTGAGACAGAGAGACCAGGAGATTGTCTGCTCACACAAGAGAGAGGATCGGAGGACGCTCCTCCAAACACACATTATTATTTTCACAATTTCATTTTTGTTTCTTCTGGAATCGCTCAGTCAGACCGAGTGCTGTGATGTTGGGAGGTCCGGTCTTGGGGAGGGAGCGGGGTGAGTGACGGCGGCTGCAGCGTAATCATCTGTCTCTTTTATTTAGGAAGTCAAAAGGAGAGAGAAATAGAAGATTAGAAGTTCTCGTTCCAGTTTATTCTTTTGTTTCATGATGATAAACTGATGTTAAATTCAGCTTAAAGAGAAGCTGGGAGGAAGCTTTGGTTCATTTTAAGTTACAGGAGATCTTGTCTCCTATCTGCTCCTCCAGAGACAGCATGGACATGAGGGTTACATGGTGAGGATCCCACAGGACAGGTTAGTGCAGTCACACAACCGAGCTGGAGGGAGACAGACGCTGTTCTTCTTTATATTGCAAGCTTGTGTGTTATGTGCATTACAGCCAGCAGTCTAAACAGCAGCAGCCCCCCCCACCCCCCACCCCACCCCACCCCCACCCCACCCCACGCACACACACACACCCCGGCCCTCTTAGTTCTGGGACTTTTTTGTGTGTAGCCCTCGGACCATTATAATTGAGGACCCCTGCTATAGAGCTCCGGGAGTTGACGTCACTTCTCCCGGCATGCAACAGTTCAAATCAAAACGGCGCCATCTTGGCAGGCAGAAGCCCGTGGCTGGGCTATTTGTTATTGTCAGAAAACTCAATCAAACGGGAAATATGGTAGATTCTTAGTGGGCTTCCTAAACTTATTATGACGTGGCTTTTTCTGTCTTATTACTCATAGCAACAAGTAAACATCGCATAAAACGTTGCCTTGTGATTTCTGCATGCTGCCGTTTACGTGCCTTTTGATCACAGCAATTAACCGGCTAAGCTGTATTTCATTTTTAAGCAATGGTTGATCAATTGTCAGATCACACATAAAAAGCACTTTGGATTGCTATTATCTGTCTCACCGAGACAGATTTCAGACAGATCCTGAGACGCTCCTGCCTGACATATTTATTTTATTCATGGAAAAAAATCAAACTAGTGATTTCTCTTGGCGTTCAGTTTATACATTCAAGCAGCATAGCACTCTATTTAAACTTCTTACATGTAAATCTATGTTATTTGTCCATCCATCCATCCATCCATCCATCTTCATCCATCCATTTTCATCCGCTTATCTGGAGTCAGGTCGAGGGGGCAGCAGCCTAAGCAGAGGCCGAGACTTCCCTCTCCCCAGCCAGCTCCTCCGGGGAAATCCCAAGGCGTTCCCTGGCCAGGTCTGCTCCGACAGCTTCTGGCATTTTTAAATAGTATCCCAGGGGCACGGTAAGGGTCGGAGATGTTTAGTCTATTTAATTTCTGACTATATAAAACGATTTCTTTGGTTTTAAAGTGTGAAGTAAACTCCGACGAAGTAAAATCCAAGCCGATCCCGTTCATTTTGTTTACCTTTGTTGCCTGCCAACATGGCGTCTACGCTCTGAGAGCCACGTGATGTCCGGAGCTCTATAGGGTTTCAAGATATAGTTTCTGGGTTGCTGCTGTTACTGGCTAACATATTGCCCACCACTCTAGAATAATTTGCTGGCTGGTTTCGAATTGCATATACCGACCCTGCAGCATTAGCTGGCACAGACTCGGCAAGCCTGCAAGCTCATAGATGGTGAACAAAGACTGTGTCCCTCTGCTTCCATTTTGAAAGGAGAAAACTGACAACCCCCAGCTGGTTCTTTCCAACATGATTGAGGCATTACACTGTTTAATGATTATTTCACTGTAAAATTCCTACATACTGTAGCTTTAAGCTAAACCACAGACACTACTGGTCCAGTCATGTTTTTTACTGTGAGCAGCTACACAAAGAAACTAATAGATCTTGAATTTTTGAAAATCTCAAATTTCTCAAAGGCATAACATCAGAGGTGACGGATTTTTAATATTTAAAGAAGTATTGAGTTTTCGTTTTTCATATTTTTATTTTTAAGGTATTCAAAGTAGCATAAAAGCAAAAGTTGTAAAAGGAAACGTAGCATGGTCAGTCTTCTGTAACACCCCCGCAGGCAAACATCACAACTTGTAGTTTTCACAGTCAGCATGGAGCCTGTTCGTATCCGTTTGTGCGGTTTTCATCCATTCATTTTGTAAAGACGTTCTTGTTGTGAGGAACTCTGTGCCATCTTTCATGCCTTGTGCCTTTGAGGTTTATCCACAGCTTTTCCACTCTTGTTAAGGTCATCAGAGAGGGAGGTTTGTGCTACAAACTTCAACTTGCACCTCAACGAGGTGCTTAGAAACATCCCCACACTGTCTGCAACACGAGCCCAAATCAAGATCAAGTCAAACTCATTTTCCATTTATAAAGTTCTTCACTTGTGCCAATATTCAAATATCCAATGATTATTTTTTTAAAAGGTTCTTCTGTCTCAACTTTGCTCCATAAATGTCATATTTGTACCCATTACTGCAAATTGGCTCTACGTGCAACCACTTCAAAGTCCGTTAAATCCTGCAGTGGTCCTTTTGTAGTGAACAGGGGTGTTATAGAAATCAGGTTTCCTTGTTCTCTTTTTGGGGTCAACTTTACATCTATTAAACGCTATGTTGTAATTATATAAGCAAACTTTTAAAGAAGAAAACAACTACCTGGAAGTAATTTGCCGTGTTGTTGTAACCTTTCCCTGCTTCATGCACATTTCAAAGTTTCCAGCAGCCGGGTAAAAGATCCCATCACTGCCAGTTATTAAAAGGAAGTTTGAAGTATTAATGATGCTTTGAAATGTTTCCTTACCTGGCCTTTCCTAACAAGCTGAAGCTCTAACAAGCTATTTAAATGATGAGATTTTTGTTAAAGTTTCTGAGGGATAAAATCTCACTAAATTCCTTTTTTTTTTCTATAAAACTTTTTTCTCTTTTTTTTTTCTCCAGAACTCTATATGTGTATATATATATATATATATATATATATATATATATATATATATATATATATATATATATATATATATATATAGATAGATAGATAGATAGATAGATATTTCAGTTTTGATCTTGTGGAATTTTGAAGTATTTTAAAGACAAAATGATCAGACTTTCATATTTCCAGAAAATATTTATGATTTTTTTAAAGATTTTTGTTTCAATACCAGGACATATCAAGGATGTGTTTAAAATTCAGCAAATTATTCGCCTTCTGTATTTTTACTTTTATGCTGATGATGATTAAAAAGATACAAGTGTGCCTTAATATTCTGTAGATTGGAAATTCTAGATTATTTAAGAAATTTATAATTTATTCAGATTAATTACAATAACATTGGTCCTGGTTTAGCATCAAATGCTGTGTACACTATCCTGTTTGTTGTCAATATTAAAATTAAGTTTCATCATTACGATGCTGTTTCTTTTCAATATTTTTCACTTATTTTAAAAAATATTCAGAAATACAACTAACAGTTGGTCATTGTGATAGAGTATCTGATGCCTGGAGGGAGGGAGGGAGGGAGGGAGAGAGAGAGAGAGAGAGAGAGAGAGAGAGAGAGAGAGAGAGAGAGAGAGAGAGAGAGAGAGAGAGAGAGATGGATGGATGGATGGATGGGTGACCTTTAGGCAGCAGATGTTGACCTTTCCAGCCATTCCTTCACACACGTGACCATGTAGCGAAAGGACCCAAGTGACCATCTGCCTCTGGTGTCGACAACAATAGGCTGCACCCTCCTGAAGTGTGCTGCGGGTGCTAGGCCTTTGTGTTGGTCTGGACTTTAGTGAGGGTGAAATGGTGTTAGTGGAGGGTGTGAAAGTTGCAAAGTTTCCATTTCTTTTTAATCCTAAATTGTGACATTTGCGTCTGGCTGCTGAGCAGGAATGTCCTACAATATTGTTTCTCTTTATTAACAGTTAAAAGTTATTTACCCTAAAACAAAATACAACACTGCTGAACTACAACTGAACATAGAAATTATGAAAAATCAGGGTAAAAGGGGGTTAAAATAGATTTCACTTCACACATTAGACATTTTTACTAAATTCACATTAACCTTAATATTTTGGAGAACAGTATCAAAAATACTGGCATAGTTAGAAATGCACAGAAGACACATTATTTTATCTTTTTTTTATTTATTTAAATATTATTTTGTGTAACTGTGTTTCAAGTCAATCAGCATCAATGTTCTAAGTGTAAATGCAAGTGTTGTTTACATCTTTTAGAGACAACAGTGGGAATTTCAAACCCATGATCTTTTTTGTTCACCTTCCCCCTGACTCCACCCCCTTTGGGAACAAAAGATGAGGTCACGTTTTGTTCATTCAAAAGACCCTCAGCCAGCGCTTCAAAATCTGATTTTTGGGAC